GGGGCAGCAGCGGCTGCTGCCAGCCCGGTAAGGGCTGCCTGCTCGCTGGGGGACACTGGGCGGAGGGGGATCGCACACCGGGGTGCACCCCTTGGGGAGACCCTGCAGTTGTCTTTGCACCTTCCTCAAAGGTGCCTGTGTTTTCTGGCTCTGCTTTCGGCTTCTGCGGTGGACTTGCCCGTCACGGCGGTTATTTAATATGTGGTTCCCTGCTAGGCCTTGCTGTTTGATTACTGTCACAAATGATATCAGGTGAAATTCCTCATTGCTTCTGCAGTTGCACGGTAGCCCACTGTTACTCGCTTTTCCAACCCCCCAAGTTAATTGTTTTCCCACTGTAAGCCTCATACTGAACGCCTGCAGAGCAAACCAAAACCAAACCCCCCAAAACTCATTTTTTTCAGCTATTATGTTATCAGAAAAAAATTTCATGGCTCTGACATTATAAGCCCTGAGCAGCATGCAACTTATCAGGGCCTTCACATGATGAAATTGTACTTTTGAAAGCGTTAGAACAAAAACCAGAACATCTTTTTATGGGATTTGAGCCGCTAATTTTAATTGCCATGATTTAAGCAGTTCAGTTGAATGTAGGCTCTTTCCATAGTCATTTATGATATAAAACAGGACAAGCAAGCCGAAATCAGCTATCTAAAACTCTCTTTAATAGATGTGTAAATACCAGTAGGATCAAATCTAACCAGATCTATGCCTGTCACACCCACATCATGGATTCTGCTATGTTCTCATATTTCTAGTGCACGACTGACAGGCTGACAATTGACACAAAACTGTAAGTGAGTAAGTAATCTTGCTTTAAAGACGGGGAAAAGGTGCCAAGCATCCCTCATTAAACTTATTGGAGGGTGAAAAGGCAAGCATTTAAGAAGAGCTGTTTGGAGATCCCTATGCATGAATAATACAAAATATGAAACGTTGCTTGTGGAAATGCGTGTTTCTGTGATCCTAATTCCAGTCTTTCTGCTTCCTTTCTTTAAACTTCTACAATTCCCTTCGCAGAAAAGAGAGGCACCTGAAAGTTAAATCTAATTTAGTATCTTTCCCATCTCCTGTCTCACAAGTTGCTCAAATATTTGTCAAAATGACAAAGGCTCCACTATATAAAGTCTTACACTTTCTTCCAGTGCACTTTTTCTGTCTTTCTATAGCCAATAGGGTAATAGAGGCCTCACTCATGCCCCCCCCCCCGAAAAAAAAAGAGGCTACGCGATCATATCTAGCAAAATTATCCATTGCCAAGAAATCACTTGAAGCCCCCTGGATGTGTTTATCCTTGTCTGTGCTTCTACTGCCATAGTTTACCAGTTAGGATCACACCTTGACTAGTTTTTACTAATTATGGCACTTCCCTCTAATTTAACATCAAAGCTAAAGATAATGATTTTTAGATGTTCTTTTTCTTTTAAGGAGGAGAAAGGAAGTAACCAATAAGGCTGCTTTGAAAACCACTTTATTTTCAAATACTGAGTTGTTTCTCCCATGTATGTTCCAGATCCGGATTCATTAACTCATGTCTATTCTGTTTCATACATCTCAGCTAGGAAAGGGTATTCTTCATCTTCTCATTTTTGCTCATTAGCCTCACACTTATAATAGGGCTCATGTAAACTTACGCATGTCTGCTTAAAGCTTATGTCTGCATTATGCCCTTTAAATTGGCTTAGATAGCTAAGAAAGTGACAGGTGAATAGAATTAATTATCAAAGGGTAAAATTGCTATTAACGTGACACCATCTCCAGTTAATATTAAAGACAATAGCATTTCGGTTTTGTAGGGTTGTTGACTGCTTCTATTTCAAGTTTATATATATTTATTTTAACAAAACTTGACTCTACTTTTAAATCCTTTTGGTCTGAGTTTTTCCAGCTCAAATTAGATTTTAGGCTGCACTTCTTTAAGACTGTGTACTTCACCTGCACACTGAAAACCCTGCTCGTCATAAATTAGAATGGAGTAACGGTCTTTGCAGCTGTAGTGGAACTTCTTTTCATCAAAAAATAAAGAGCATTCTCAATTAATTTAGTCTCCTACCACCCCCACGGATGTGGCTGTTGTGTGCATTTGATAGAAGGAAAAAACTGAAAGGGTGCAGCTAGCTCCTTCATAAAAACAGCAGCTGAAGTTCAGTGCCAAGCTGAAATGCCCTGAGCCTTGCTCAGACATATTCATGCCTTCTTGATTTTTCTGGATGCTATAAGCACCCAACAGCCTTGAAAACAAAGCTATCACGATCAAAACGAGGAAGCACCCACATGTGACTGGCCACGCCTGAAAGATCACTGATTTAGTGAATTGAAAAGCAACACTGAAGGTTGGTGGAAGAATGGCAAGTCATATGAATGTAGTTGGAAGTATCCTTCTTCCTTTGCCTAGCCAGATCCTCTATGTGTAGTTTAGGAAGAAAGAAAAAAGAAGGCAGATTGGATGAATGGATAAATAGAAAATCTGAAAAAACCCTATACAAACTTTTTGTAAAGATGAAAGTATCCAAGCCCTTCATGAATCAGATGCCAGCAAATTGAAGAAGAGATCCAGAAACCGGGAGCTAGATTGCAATCAAAATTAGAGCAAGGAGAATAAGGCAAGGAAACATATTACCTTACAGAAACTATTCAGATGTATGTAGCTTTCAGAAAAAATAACACAATGACCTGTAAACACCGCAGTAGAGATAGTAGGACTTCGGCAAAAGAAGGCAATGACTAAACAGCATGGCAAGTGATTCTGGTAACAAAGATTTTTAAGCTGTCCATATTGACCCAGTAGTGTGCGAGTATCTCCAAATCCATATATACATATATGTAAGGATACTGGATATATATAGGTTACCTTACATATATGGATAATGGCCTAACAGAACAGATTTCATGGATCCCAACTTCTTTCCTCGTCTTAGGCCCCACTGAGCAGAGTACTTCAATTTAAGGGTTTCAGCCCCATGAGTTTAAGCTATCTGTTAAAGTGGGGGCTCTTCTCTGATAGACCGACCTCCGACGAAAGAGGAAAGGGCTCGGTCCTGTCCCGAAGGCAGCAGAGGAAATACAGTGTCACTCCACTGTAACTCTGACTGCAGAAGAGGAGGTATTCCACACCAAACAGCTTCTTTAGAGTCAGAGACGCTCCTTATTTGAATAAACTCAAAGAGTATATTTGAATAAAACCCAACGATACAAGATAATCTGTAACCCTTCAAAGACCTCCGTTTTCTTTCAACATTCTCTTTGTGGTTTGTAGGTTATTTGAGTAGTTTTACGAACCTGACATGCTCCTTTCAGTGTCACTAGCCTGCCGTTCCTGGAGGCTTATCTAT